AAGGCTGGCGCTGCCCAGATGTGCTCCCTCCCAGGGGAGGGGACAGCGCCTGTCCCCAGGGCCAGGACGGGACTGGCACGGAGCTGGGGCTGGGGGGCTGCATGCACACCTCTCTGCCCCCTCCCCACCCCAGCTCCCACAGTCCCACGGCTCTGCCCCCCCACAACCACCCCAAATCCCTGACCTCGGTCCCGCACAGCCCCAAAACCCATCCCTGTCCCCACAGCTCCCTGCAGACCCCACTGCAGCCCACCAGAACTCCTGCTCCCCTTGTTTCCATCCCCAATCTCCCCCTCACAGCCCCCAACTCCACCCCAGGTCCCCAACTCCCACCCCAAGCACCCCAGCCCTGTCCCCCAGGGTCACACCAACAGCTCAAACTGATCCCTGACCCCCCCAGCCCTCTCTGCCGCATCTGTGTGGTGACAGTGACATGGGGGGAGGCCACAGTAGGTGCTGCCTGCCCGAGGTACCCCCCTTCCCCAGGGGTCCTGTGGGGCACAGCCCATGCCCAGGGCACCACCGGGGTCACTTGTGGGGTCCCCGTTCCTGGTAAGCCCAGCAGGACCCCCATCACCATCACACCAGGGTGGCAGGGGACACTGGCACAAAGCTCCAGGGGAAGCTGGGTGGTCTCTGTGTTACCCCAGCCCCACTGGGGGAGCACTCCAGCACTGAGCACACCCAGCCTGGGTGCAGCTCCCTGCCCCTGCCCTGGCACTCCACCCCAGCCCGGAGTCTGGGGTCTCTGGCAGCACCGTGTCCCCCAGGGTGCCAGCCCAGCCCAGGCAGGCGCTGCAGCCCCCCAGGGCTGGCGGCAGCACGAGGCTCCCCGGCGGGTGAAGAGGGCCTGGGTGATCCCCCCCATCAGCGTCTCGGAGAACCACAAGCGCATCCCCCACCTCCTGGTGCAGGTCGGTGAGAGCCCCCAGCCTCTGTCCCAGCGCTCCCCCACCCCGGGCAGGGGCACTGCACAGGGGCACCCCCCCCAGCCTGGGACCCCCAGCCCTGATTCTCCTGGGGCAGATCAAGTCAGATAAGCAGCAGCCCGGAGGGGTCATCTACAGCATCAAAGGGCCGGGCGTGGATGAGGAGCCCCTGGGCATCTTCTCCATCGACAAGTTCAGCGGGAAGGTTTTCCTCAACGCCATGCTGGACCGGGAGGAGCACGACCGCTACCGGGTAAGGAGGATGCAGGGTGCCCACAGCCCCTCCCCGGGCCCCCAGCAGACCCCGACCCCCCACTCTGCACCCACAGCTGAGAGCCTTCGCCCTGGACCTGGGAGGGGTCACCCTGGAGGACCCCACGGACCTGGAGATCATAGTGGTGGACCAGAACGACAACCGGCCGCTGTTCCGGCAGGACGTGTTCACCGGGAGCGTGGTGGAGGGGGCTGAGCCAGGTGGGTCCGCCCGGGGGGCTGCGCTGGGCTGGGGGCCGAGCCCGCCCTGTGCCCGCACCCACCGGGCGCTCCTGGGCCGCAGGGACCTGCGTGATGACCGTGGATGCCACCGACGCCGACGACCCCGACACGGACAACGCGGCCCTGCGCTATTCCATCCTGGAGCAGGGCGCTGCGGGGATGTTCAGCATCAACGCCAGCACCGGGGAGATCTGCACGGCACGGCCCGGCCTGGACCGTGAGGTAGCGGGGGGGTCACCTGGGCGGGGCTGGGGGGACAGCGGCACTCGGGGCAGTCACGGACACCCCAGTGGTGCAACCACAGCTCCGTCCACGGGCAGACCAGGGAGGGTGGGCAGCAGTCTGGGGATCTCTGTGCTGCCTGGGGGGCTCAGCTCTGTGCCCCCCTTCCCCACAGACCATGGGCGTGTACAACCTGACGGTGCAGGCGGCCGACATGTCCGGGGACGGGCTGACCACCACGGCCACGGCCGTCATCTACCTGGAGGACATCAACGACAACCCCCCCGAGTTCACCAAGGAGGAGGTAACGGGGACACGGGGCCGTGCCAGGGTCAGGGGGCGGGACCCCCCCCCGGGGGTCTGCAGCATCCCGGAGGGGCAGAGTCCAGCCCCACACCGCTCTCCCCCAGTTCTCCATGGAGGTGGAGGAGCAGGCGGCCGGTGTGGACGTGGGCAGGGTTTTTGTGCACGACAAGGACCTGGCGGGCTCGCCCAGCTGGTTGGCCAAATTCACCATCCTGGAGGGCGACCCCGAGGGCGCCTTCGCCATCCGGACCGACCCCCACACCAACGACGGCGTGCTCTCCGTGGTCAAGGTGGGCAGGGGGCAGCCAGGGGTCCCCGGGGGCCCCAGGGCTCTGCTGACCCCCTGGCCCCTCCCGCAGCCGCTGGACCACGAGGTGCGGGACCGCTTCGAGCTGACGGTGTCGGTGCAGAACGAGCGGCCGCTGGAGCCCCCGGCCCCCGGCAGCCCCCGGGCGCTGGCCACGGTGCGGGTGCGGGTGCGGGACGTCAACGAGGCGCCCGCGTTCCGCGAGAACCCGCGGCGGATCAGCGTCCTGGAGGGGACACCCCCGGGCACCCCCATCACCACCTACACCGCCAGCGACCCCGACACCCACCAGATCCAGACCCTCTCGTGAGTCCCGCTCCCTCCCCCGGCCCCGGCCCCGCGGTGGGGGCGATGTCTCACGCAGCCCCCCGCCCACAGCTACGCGCTGCTCTACGACCCCGCGGACTGGCTGCAGCTGGACCCTCACGCCGGCACGGTCCGCACCAAGCGGGAGCTGCTGCACCCCTCCGCCTTCCTGCAGGGCGGCTGGTACATCGCCCTGGTGCTCGCCCGCGACGATGGTGAGCGGCCGCGCCCCCGGCCCCCGCTGTCCCCGCGCTGTCCCCGCTGACCCCCGTGCTCTGTCCCCAGCCGAGCCCCCGCTCTCGGCCACCGGCACGCTCTCCATCGAGATCCTCGAGGTGAACGACCACGCTCCGCAGCTGCAGCCGCCGGCCGGGGTGCTCTGCGGGCGGCCGGGGCGCGGGGGGACCCTGCTGCTGGGGGCCACCGACGATGACCGACCCCCCCACGGAGCCCCCTTCCACTTCCAGCTCAGCCCCCAGCACCCGCAGCTCGCCCGCAACTGGAGCATCGCCCGCTTCAATGGTGAGGGTCGGCCGGGGCCCTGGGGGGGCTGCACGGGGGGTCCCTCCCGCTGACCCCTGCCCGCCCCGCAGTGACCCACGCCGTGCTGGCCGTGCTGGCGGAGCTGCCCGAGGGGCCCTACTCGCTGCCGCTGCTGCTGCGGGACTCGGGGACGCCCCCGCGGGAGCAGCAGCAGCTGCTGAACGTCTCGGTGTGCCGCTGCGGCCGCGACGGCGCCTGCCTGCACGGGGCGCTGGCCGCGGCCACGGCCGGGGCCGGCATCACCCTCGGGGCGCTCATGATCATCCTGGGCAGCACCATCCTCCTCCTCGGTGAGTGAGACCCCCCCCGTGCTCACCCAGCCCTCCGCCCCTGCCCATGGCACCCGTGCTGGTCTGGCCGCCCCTCCCGAACCCCAGCGGCTCTTCTGCCACCTTGATCCCCACCCAGCACCCCATCCTGGGCCTGGCCTCCCACCCAGCCCCAACCATGGCCCCCAACACCTTCCCCTGCCCAGCCACCCCTCCTGACCGCAGTGCAGACCTCCTCACTTCCCTCATTGCCCATCCCGCCCCAAACCCTTCTCCCACCCCAATGCTACCCCAAATCCTGCCTCCACCCCAATCCCCCTCCCAGCCCCACTGCGTCCCACCCCAGCCATCGCCCCGTGCCTGCCGTGCCTCCCCATGCCCACACGCCTGTCCCGTGTCCCATGTCCCGTGTCCGTGTCCCGTGTCCGTGTCCCGTGTCCCGTATCCCATGTCCCGTGTCCCATGTCCCGTGTCCCGTGTCCGTGTCCCGTGTCCCGTGTCCCTGTCCCCGCAGTGCTGGCGGCTCTGGGCGCTGCGCGGGTGCGCGGGCGCCGCCGGGCCCTGCGCAAGGGGCTCCTGCAGCGCTCCCGGGACGACATGCGCGACAACATCCTCAACTACGACGAGCAGGGCGGCGGCGAGGAGGACCAGGTGAGCAGCGCCCGTGGCAGGGCGGGCCCGGGGCTCCGCAGCTCGGCCCTGCGCCCCTAAACCCCTCCCGGCCCCGCAGGACGCCTACGACATCAACCAGCTCCGGCACCCCGAGCTCTTCTCCCCCCGGGCCAAGCCCCCCCTGCGCAGGGACGCCCCGCTCAGCTCGGGGACCCCCGTGGCCCCCCGCAAGCTGCCCAGCAGCCCCTCGGACATCGAGGAGTTCATCAATGAGGTGGGTCGGGGCCCGGCAGTCCCCAGCAGCGCCCAGCAGTCCCCGCTGCCGGCGGTGACGGTGTCCCCGTGTCCCTGCAGGGGCTGGAGGCGGCTGACAGCGACCCCAGCGTGCCCCCCTATGACACGGCCCTCATCTACGACTACGAGGGCTCGGGCTCGGTCGGCAGCCCCCTGAGCTCCATCGTGTCCAGCCTGACGGACGAGGACCAGGACTACGACTACCTGAGCGAGTGGGGGCCGCGCTTCCGCCGCCTGGCCGACCTCTACGGGCACTAGCGGGGGTGGGGGCGGCAGGGGACACCCCGCTGCCCGGGAGGGGCTGGGGCAGGCACGGGGAAGCGGGCAGCTCACACACACACACACGGGAGATGCCCAGAGGAGGTGGCTTCAATAGTGGAGCCGCACGGGGTGCCCGGCGGGAGCGGCTTGCACACGCGTGTGCAACGCGAGCGTCCGTGCGGGGCTGCACACCCACACACCCCGCAGAGCCCAGCTCGGCAAACCTGGGGGGACACCCGGGTGAGCCCCACACAGCTGGGGAGGGGAGAGGAGACCCCCGGGCGGCCCCATAATAAAGAGCGGGGGTTGGCGGCGGGGCTGTGTGACCCCCCACACCAGCGACCCATAGAAACAAGGCACTTTTATTGGGAGCCGGCAGACCCCCGGGGAGCTTCGCCCCCGCCCCGGGGGGCTTCACCCCCGCCCCAGGGCCCCCAGCACCGCCGCTCCCGGGGCGGCACCCGGCCCCACCGCGGGGTGGGCGCTGCTCCCCCAGCCCACGCGTCCTGCTGCCCCCCAAACATCCCTGGGGAGGGGGGGATCCCTGCTCAGCCCCCCCGCAGCAGGGAGAGCCCCGGGGAGCGCGGGGGGCACGGCTACATCTCGCGGGGGGGCTCCGGGGAGCGCAGCATCCTCTTGGTGGAGGCGGCCAGGCAGGAATAGTCGTGGGGGACGGCGTGGGGGGCCAGCAGGGGCAGGTGGTCCTCGCGGCGGGGGCGGCGGAACAGGGGCGGGCGGCGCTGGCTCTCGCCGTCCTGCAGGGACTGGGGCAGGCCCCGGCCCTGGCTCTCGGGCAGCAGCATGATGCTGAGCACCGCCAGGATGGCGAAGGAGGCGAACACGACGTGGTGCAGGAAGAAGCCGCGGCTGTTGGGGATGGCGGTGATGGGAGCCGCGGCCTTGCCCACGAAGTTGGCGCCCACCACCAGGCCCAGCCCGGCGCCCCTGCGGGAGGAACAGGCTCAGGGTCCCTGCCCGCTGCCCCCCGCTCCGGGGCAGCCCCGAGGGGGGCAGCTCCCCCTTTTACCTGACCACGGTGGGCAGAACCTCGCTGGCGAAGAAGATGCTGAGCACGGTGACGGCGTGGGAGGCGGCCGTGCCCACCACGGACAGGGTCAGGACAATGAGCTCCAGCAGGTCTGCGGGGGTGGGGGGACACATCAGGGGGCAAATCCCGCACCCAGCTCTGCTCCCCACGGCTGGGGCTGCGGGCGGGGGGCTTACACTGGGTGAGGGCCAGCAGCAGGAGGGAGGAGATGCCGGTGAGCACGGTGCAGAGCAGCAGGATGGCGCGGCGCCCGAAGCGCTCGGCGGTCAGGCACACGAAGAGGCAGGCGGCCGCCTCGGTGCCCAGCAGCGCCAGCTGGCAGGACAAGAAGTGGGGCAGGTGCGGCAGCAGGTTGCGGGTGAAGCAGTGGCGGATGCCGGAGCCGATGAACCTGCGGGACAGCGGGGTCAGGGGGCCGCGAGCGGGACCCCCGCCCCGGGCCCGCCCAGCCCCGCCGCTCACGCCGCGAAGCCGAGGATGACGCCGTTCTTCCAGATGACCCTGGAGCTGCAGATCTCGCAGACCGAGTGGTACCGGGGCCGCGGGGGCCCCTCGGACAGGGCTTCCAGCTCTGCCGGGAGAAGGGGAACCGGGATAGAGCCGGCTCTGTCACAGCAGGGCTTGGGGGACGGGGCCGGTCGCCCCCGGAGCCCCCCACGCACCCGCGAGGAGGCTGTCCTGGGGGCAGTTGTCCTCGGCCAGCGCCTGCAGGGTCTTCCTGGCCCTCTCCGCTTGCCGTGTGGCCAGCAGCCAGCGCGGTGACTCCAGCAGCAGGGCCGGGCACCTGGGGCACGAGTGTCAGCTCACAGGGCTCCCCTGGGGCTGGCCACCCTCCAGCTCTGACCTTCCCACCTGGCTTCAAAGCAGCGCTGCCCAGAAACCCTCAGCTTGAAACCTGAGCAAACATTTGCCCAGGGTGGGGGGTTCCCGCTCCTCTGGAGAGCCCCGGGTGGCCTTTGATCCCCACCGCGGCCCCGGGCAGCGTGTCCCGGGCTGGGAACGGCCCCGGAGCACAGCCCAGCCCCACGCAGCCCCCTGCCCGGGGGTCCTTACCACCAGCTGGCAGCCAGCAGGGCCAGGATCATGGTGACAGCGCCCTGCAGCACCCGCCAGTCCCGGCACAGCAGCGCCAGCCCCGGCAGCAGCAGCTCCCCGGCCATCCAGAAGAATCCGGCCACCATCGTCACCCCCAGGCGGTGCGGGGGGTCACACAGCTCCAGCCCTGGCAGGGGGCGAGGGGGCACAGTGGGTGCCAAGGACACGGGGCCTCCTGCAGCCTGGAGCACCCGATATTCCAGACCATCCCGGGACACCCCACAGCCCGGAGCATCCCGCACCCCGGGGCGTCCTGGAGCATCCCCAGCCCCAAATCCCCCCCGGGTGCCCCCTCACACTCACGTGCCACGTAGAGGGCGAGGAAGGCTCCTGCCAGCGCGGCCCCGAAGAGCAGCCGTGCCACCAGGACCATGAGGAAATCCACAGCCAGCGCCACGGCCAGCCCCGCGGGCACGGCCAGCGCCAGGGACAGCAGGAAGGTGGGACGGCGGCCGAACCTGCCAGGCACGGGCTGTCAGGGGCTGGGCACCGTGCCCCCTGCCCCGGGGGCTGCCCGGGGACCCCCAGTACCTGTCACAGGCCAGGCCGGCGGTGACACTGCCCAGCGTCCAGCCCAGCAGGTGCGTGGTCTGCTCCAGGGGCACCTTCCAGCGCGAGGCACACACCAGGTCCCACTGCGGGGACACAGCGGGGAGGTGGCAGCGCAGGGGGCTTGGCAGAGCCCCTGGCACTGCCCACAGGGCTGGGATGGATGGGGCTGCAGGGCGTCTGGAGAGCCCCCACCCCACAAACAGAAATGGGGGGACAGATGTGAGGGGACAGTACGGGTGATTCCAAGAGCCCTGGACACCCTCCAGCCCTCAGCACCCTTCCCCAGGGCTCCCCCAGGCAGCCCCAAACCCCTCCAGGGGTCATTGCTGCTCCTTCCCGGAGCCCCCAGCAGGCTCTGGTGGCTGGGACCCCTCGGTTTGTCCCCCCGACTCCTCTCCGGTATCCCCCCCAGAGCGTTCCCTTAGCCCCTCCTTTACCCCCGGGACCCCTCATCCCCCTCCAGCGCCGCAGACTGCCCCAGGCCCGGGGTCCCCCCTCTCCCCAGGCCTGGCACCCCGTGCCCACCTGCGTGACGAGGTTGGCGCGGAGGCCGGCGGCGGGCAGCGCGTAGTGCCAGCCGCGGGTGCAGGGCCCGGTGCCGTTGGGGCGGGGGTCTCCGGGGGGGTAGCGGTACAGCTGGCAGGGGCTCCAGCCGCCGCGGAGGCGCGGCACGGCGGCGCGGAGCAGCGCGGGGCCGCCCCGGCGGCTCCCTCCGGATCCGACCCCCAGTCCCGGCTCAGAACCCTCCAGTCCCGGTTCGGACCCCCAGCCTCGGTTCAGACGCCCCCAGTCTCAGTTCAGACCCCTCCAGCCCCGGTTCGGATTCCCAACCCCGGTTTAGACCCCCAGCCCTGTTTCAGACCCCTCCAGCCCTGTTTCAGACCCCCCCAGTCCCGGTTCAGACCACTCCAGCCCCGGTTCAGACCCCCCCAGTCCTGGTTTGGACCCCCAGTCCCGGTTTACTCGCCTGCAACACGAGGCTCAGTCCCAGTCTGATCATCCCTCAAGGCCGGTTTGTCTCCCCAGCCCGGTTCCCAAACCCCAGCCCAGTTCCCAAACTCCAGCCCTGATCCCGATCCCCGGCTCAGTTCCCAAACCCCAGCCCTGGTCCCAATCCCCAGCCCCATTCACCCCCCTCAGCCCCAGTTTGCTCCCCCCAGCCCTGGGCCCAGTTCCCACAGCCTGGTCTGCCCCCCCAGTTTGGGTCTCCAAACCCCACTCCTCCTCCCCCAGCCCTGCTTGTCCCCCAGCCCCGTTCACTGCCCCCACCCCAGCTCAGCCCCCTCTCCATGGTGCTCCAGACCCCTCTCAGGACTGGGGACCCCCCGGCCCAGCTGGTGTTGGGGGTCCTGGGGTGCAGCCAGGGCTTCCAGGACCCATCTGGGAACACCCACAAATGCAGCCAGGTCCCCCAAACCTCGGAGGGGGCCAGTGGAATCCGTGACACCCCCTCTAGGAAGGGAACGTGCTGGCACCCAGCACCACGTGAGCCCGTGGGAACAGAGCAGCCAAACTGCCAACAGGCTTTATTTCCCTCTTCCTTCTAAAATTTACTCACAGATGTGATTTCTGGGGGCAGCAGCATCACCCGGGTGCTCAGCTTCAGACCTGCAAAGTTGGAAAAACTCCATCTGCAAAATCACATTGAAAGCCACACTGAAAAATCACACCTGCAAACTCACATTGAAAAAAATCACACTTAAAAAAAAATCCCATCCGCATTTTTCTGCCTCCCTCTGAGGGATCCACACCCCCACACAGTGGGAGTTACAGCACGGGGAGGAAAACTGACCCTGGAGACTCCCAAGGTCACCAGCACCGTGGCCAGATGAGCCTATGGGACTTTCCAGCTTTACCTGCTCATGAAAGGCCTCTCTGTGACTACAAATTTATGGCTGTTTAACAAAATAAAGACCAGGGATGGAAATTAATCCAAGAACAATTGTTACCTGTGGCTGCTTTCTTGAAGTCCCTGACACAGGAGCAGCCCCTGGTCCCACACTAGCTCCCAGTGCCCCAACACACCCATCCCACAGCTCAGGAAAAGGGTGGGGAAAAATCCCTCTGCAGCTGGGACATGGCACTGCCCGTCCTGCTGTGGCTGTGTGAGCCCCAGTGCTGGTGCCAAGGCAGGGGCTGAGGGTGGGCAGGGGGCAGTGGGACCCCCTGGCTCTTCTGAAGCTGCTGAGTTGGAGTGAAATCCTCCCTGCCCCCACTGTGGAAAATTCCTCGGAAATTAATCCAAGAACAATTGTTACCTGTGGCTGCTTTCTTGAAGTCCCTGACACAGGAGCAGCCCCTGGTCCCACACTAGCTCCCAGTGCCCCAACACACCCATCCCACAGCTCAGGAAAAGGGTGGGGAAAAATCCCTCTGCAGCTGGGACATGGCACTGCCCGTCCTGCTGTGGCTGTGTGAGCCCCAGTGCTGGTGCCAAGGCAGGGGCTGAGGGTGGGCAGGGGGCAGTGGGACCCCCTGGCTCTTCTGAAGCTGCTGCAATGCGAGTGAAATCCTCCAGGATTCCCTTGCCCTCGCCATGGAAAATTCCTGAAGTGGCTGCAAAGCTGATGGCAGTGAGGGGGGCTGAATCCAGGGGTCCCCTCTGGTCCCCAGCAGAGGAATTTGGAGAACCCAGAGCTGGCAGAGGGTCCGTGGGGGCCAGCTCTCACTCCTGCCTGGGGCTGGCAGACAGGAAAGGCTGGGCAGCAGCAGGAGGGAAGGCACAGATCTCCTGGAAAGGCACTGGGATCTGCCTCCAGCTGCATCCCTGAGCTGAGTGAGGACTGAGCTTGCCTGGATCCACCCATCCCTGCCCAGACCCTGCAACCCCAAAACAGCATCTCCCGCTCAGTCACTCTGGGGACAGTGAATTCACCAACACAGGGGGGTCCCCTCTCCTCATGAGCCACCCCTGGAGGGTTCCAACCCCACTGCACACAGAGAGGTGTGGAAAAGAGAGAAGGATGTTTAAAATCACAAAACAGTTTGGGTTGGAAGGGACTTTAAAGCTCATCCTGTTCCATCCCCTGCCATGGGCAGCTGATCTGAGCAACCTTCTCCTTGACAGGGAAACTGCTGCCCAGGGTGAACTATAAATACAAAGATAATTTTAATTAATTTATTTATTTCTTTACACATAACTGAAAGTGATGTTACAGTACATAAGTTATTTACAACTGTGCAGTAATGTGTTGCAAAATAAATTATCTAGAAGGCAGCAAAAGTACATTGTTAATGTATATAAAAACTGTACAGCATTTATGGGATACAATTTTTCTTTATATGAGTATTGGCTCTGTAGTGTTTTCAAGTTATGTTCTCAGAAAGAGAAACGAAATGCCCAAGATTAAAGGAAAAAATATATAAACCACGTGGATTTTACTCCATTAAAAACACAGTTGGCAAAGTCCTTTCTCTGCGTCGCCGTCTCCCCGGCCGTGCCGCGCCGCGCCGGCGGCTCCTCTGCCCGTCCCCAGCGGCTGCTGCGGGGCCACCGGCACATCCCGGAGCTGTCCCCGCTCCGGAGCCGCCGCCCACCTCGGACACTGTCCTTTTGTTTCTAATTGGTTTGCTTTTTTTTTTTTTGTGTAATTTTTTTTTGTAGTATTTTTTTTGGTTTTTTGTTTTTTTTTTAGACATACCCATGATGGAACGAGAAACTCAAACACCCCCCTCCCTCCCCCCATGGTTTCCTCCTGCAGCTTCTCCGAGAGGAGACCCGCGCGCCCGGTGGAAAACAGAGAGCTGGAAATCACGGTGTTCACAAGTACATGGTTCACGTGGTTGCTGGCCCCGCTCAGCAGCTTCTGCAACACACCCACGGTGTCCTTGGCCTCGTCCCTCCGCGCCTCGGCCAGTCCCGGGGCCGCCGAGCGCCCGCTGCCCGCGCTGCCCGGAGCCTCCCGCCGCGGGCGCCGGCGGAAGGAGCTGCGCCCGCCCGCTGCCCCGCGGGGCCGCGGCAGTCCGGCAGCGAGGGACACGTCGTGAAGAAAGTGCAATTATTTTTCTTATTGTTTTGTTTTCTGCCGATAGCTGCTTCCTCCTCCTCTGACCAGGGATTCATCAGCAAGCGGTTAAGGGTGAATGTGAGCTCGACCGCCCGACCTCGGAGCGCTCCCGTCCTTGCCAGTGTTCAGAGATGTCTCCTGGGTTGGAACTGTCATGCCGGCAAGAGCACAAAGTCATCGTTCACGTCGACCATTGGCACATAGAACGAGGGCACCTCGTTCACGCAGAGGGATTTGTGCCCCGCGGGGTCCAGCTCCTGCACCTTCAGCTGCCACTCCATCCTCTGCACCGCGTTCAGGGCAGCTGCTTCGTGTTGCTGTCGCATGAGCAGGCATGTCTGGATAGGGAAACAACAACGGGCGTGAGGGCTGAGTGGCAGGCAGAGGCAGGGGACATGCAGCCACCGTGGGCACAGTGTTCAATGCAGCAAGGGGTGCCACACACAGGATTTGGAATCTCTGCTGAGCCCAGCTCCAGAAGGAGCCGAGGCACACCCCAAAGTTTGGGTTTGAAAGGCTCGTCAGCACTCCAGAGCATCCATCCCATGCAACGCTGCCCTGACAATCTCTGCACACCCACTCTGTTCTGGAAACCACTAAGGCAGCTCCCGGGCTCCAGCCCCAGGCAGAACCCTCCTGGGATGGCCCTGCTGGAGCACGGGGCTCCCACAGCTCTCACCTTCATCCGGTCGTACTTGTCATCCACGTCCTGCAGCCAGGAAATGAACTGTCGCGCGTTGAAACGGTCTCTGACCGATTTGTTTTCATCTCCCTAAGGATGGGACAGCAAAGGGAGGGACATGGGATTAGTTTTGTACTTAAGCAGCTGCAGGTCTCACAGGCCATATTCATAGGGGCACACACTCCTCAGAACTGCAGTGCCTGCAGGGAGGGAGGATGGACACCACTGCTGCCAGCTGCTCCTGCAGCCCTTTCCAGGGGTCCAGCCTCAGGTGGGGATGCACCCACGTGCACATACTCCCTGTTTCTCCTTGCTTTGCAGGGAGTCTGTCCATGTCAGCCCATCACAGCACCTGCACCTCTCTGACTCCTTCAACTGACGCCAGGATAGCAGCAGCACAGACACTTGGCTGGGAAATGCTGAGGGATAAATCAGAGCTCCTGGATCAATACGCAGCTTGCTAATAAATCCCAGGATGCTGTCCCTGCCCAGGATCCCTCCTGCAATGCAGCAGTGTAATGTTTCTCTTCCCTTCCTTCCACAGGGAGAAAACATCTCAGAGTGTAGTAAAGGAAACCTTTCCAGTGTGCAGATATCCTGACCAAGAAGGATGGAGGGTCCCAAGTCTCACTGATAAAGCTGAGCCAACTCTGCTCCTAAGAGACATGAACTCCCCGCATCCCATGTTCAATTAGATAATCAGACAAATGATGTTCCAAGTCACAGAATAATTTGGCTTGGAAGGGACCTTAACGCCCATCTCATTCCACCCCCTGCCATGGGACACCTTCCACTATTCCAGGTTGCTCCAAAATGCATCCAACCAGATCTTGGACACTTCCATGGATAGAGCAGCCACAGCTGTTCTGGGCATCCTGTGCCAGGGCCTCCCCACCCTGAGAGGGAACAATTCCTTCCCAATATCCCGTCTAACCCTGCCCTCAGGGGGAGGTGACATGCTACACCTGTGTGCCATGGTGGGTGACCTGAGCAAGGAGAACCTTAGTAACTCCTGCCTCCATGCTTCCCTCCATCCCTCCAGAAAAGCCCATCTCCCTCAGGGTCTTGCAGAGCCCCTGAGACACTTCCTCACCGCTGAGGCAGGCACTGACCTGATTTTCCAGAGGCATGTTGTACACCTCGGAGTCCAGCAGCATGGTGCAGGCACTGAAGGGCACGGCCTGGTTGGCAATGGTCCTCGCTGCCCGGCAGTGCACCCTCAGGATCTCCTGCTCGCAGGAGACGATGAGCTTCTCCTGAGGAAGAGCAGAGCAGTGAGTGTGGCAGCCCGAGCCTCGCCAGCAGGGGGAATCGGGGGCCTGCCCCCAGCTGGAGTGTCCTTACCCGCTCTATGCTGTGCTGCAGCCGCAGCTTGCCCCGCACGGCCTCCTGCTGCTTGAAGAGCTCCTTGAGCGGCTCCGCCAGCGACGGCGGCGGCGCGATCTGCGGGCACAGGCAGGGGTCAGAGCAGGACCTCTGAGGGGCACAGCCCGGGGCTGCACCCTGAAATGTGTGCTGGGAGGGAGGGAGGGACATCCCAGGGGCGCCTGGGGAGCTCTGCCAGGGACAAGGTCCTGCCAGCGCTCAGACTCAGTGAGGGTGAGGACTTGGCAAGAACAACCAGAGCCTGACCCGCACTCGTGCTGCGGGACAGGGTGTGCAGCAAGGAATGGAGCCTGGTCACACTGACACTTCTCCTCCAGCCTGGAGCCCAGATTTACCACCTGCAGCACCACGTTTATTCATGCATTTGTATTAGCGAGGCTGCTCCTGCAGCACAGCAGCGAAATGCTGATCCCAGTGCCAAGTCAAAAGCAGAGCTTGGGAAAACAATGGCAGGAGTTAAGAGCCACCTTTTTCCCATGTTCCAGGTTCATCATCCTGTTACTACATTGCTGCAAGAGCAGTTTCACCTCCCAGCCTCAAATCTAGTAGATTCTTACAAACTTTGCTCTAAAGCCTGACCAAACCTCAGGTCCCTCAGCACAGCCCAAGGTCTTCTTTGCAGAAATGCAGCAACTCAGGGGCTGCATTTACCACACAGCCAGGCACTCACCCAGGCTCAGGTTTGGTGTCATATTCCAAAGGCAGGTTGGGGCACATTGGCACTGCAAGGTGGTGACAGGGCATGGGGGACAACTTGGATGTGTGTGTAACAGTGAGTTCCTGAGGCTAAGGAGAGAGGTGACTCACCACTGGAATATGGAGCTTGCTCAGGG